TGTTTGTAAGTTGATAATGTTGAACGACCCCTAACCTAACATTAAAAATCTCAGTTAAAAAACAAGCACACCAATGACCAAGGACAAATTTCAACGGGTTTGCGGGGTGGGGGGGGGGGGGGGGGGTTGTGGTATTTCCAGGACAACCGATCTTGTTAACGTGTTTGACATTAACAGAGGCAGAAAGTTAAAGGATTAAAGGTAAGATTATGTAATGACTTAATAGCGAAAAGCTGCATGTTCGAAGCCCACTAGAGACACTTTTCGTTGGGCTATACTTGATACCATCATATACGTTCCTATTCTAGCACTTATTACTACCGTATATATCTATTTATTATCTATTTGTATATTTTTTAATGTATGCATGTCATACGGACGCAATCTAAGGAGATGTGAATGATGATCAACAACAACTGGGTACAAGAGACACTTGGCCTGTAATGATGGCAGTGAAGTGAAATATGGAAGATTCGAAGGACATAGTAAGCAATGGCTAATACCTAATTAAAAAAAAAAAACACTGAGCCTCGTACGCCCTGTCATCATCAATCGAAAAGGTGGTAATGTATCTATACTAACATAAGGTTCTTTTAAAGATTATGCTTTGAAAGGGTTATTAAGATATTTAATATTTAGTACCGGTACCTACTGACAGTATAGTGGCAACTGTTTTATGATGATTTTGAAATACTTTAATTAAGATAATTGAGAAATAATTGAAGGTCTTCGTTTTTCGGGTCTTCGGTCTTCGTTTTTTTTTAAATTTCTTATTTTTAAATACAAGTTAAATTAAAATTCAACAATTTAGTTTCCATAATTAATCAAAAATTCTATAATTCTATGTGCCTACTTTTTAAAATTCTGATTGAAATAAAATTAATTTAAAATGAAAATAAATTTTAAATATTTGTAACTTTTATTGAAAAAGTACCGCACGGTAAGCAAGCTTTAATTGTGGAGTCCAGAACATGACAGTGTGTTTAATTAATGGAGCTTTCCGCTAAGCCCCGCCCCTTGGATATTGTTGCTAAGGTCCCACAAGCAATTACGTTAAAACGTGTTAAAACATACGCGAACACGTCCGTTGGTAGGGACAACACGTGTATTTGTGAGACGCGCGCGTATTTCTAGCGCTGTTTTAATTAGTCAGTTGTTAAGTTTGATTGACACTCTGGAAAGGTCTATTATATTTTAGGAATCTGATTATTTTTTTAATTGTGTGAAAGCCCACCTGTGTTTAGTTGGAAGATTATTACATGAAAAAAATTAATATTGTTTTTTTTTAATTTTAGGGTTCGATGTTAAATATAAGACACAAGTGAATCAATTAAGCGCTAGTCTAATAGTATTTATTTTACATATGTACAAGTATATACAAGGATATCAGTGTTTATTACATATTCATGAGTGACTAATAGTTTCTTAACTGCAACATATATTTGACTTTTAAGCTATTTCCAAGTATAGGAATTAGAGGTAAAGATTTCGTTGGTCATTCACCTTAAGTACTGATGACTAAATACCACAGTTGTCATTGAATTTAATGGTTAGATCATATACCGGTATTAGACGGTATATTTCAACTACGGTACGGTACCACCTCGCATTACCAGGACCATCTGAAGAAGGACAAACGCTCCCCAGTTAATGTTACGTTGATGTACTAGTTCACTACCTTGGCTGTGAACTTAGAAGTCTGGGATTTATATTATTTATATCCAGAATTTATGCATAACGAAACAATATAAAGACATGATAGCACTGGATTACATGGATACCAATGGCAAGATATGAGGTCTTAACCTGAAAGTTTATCAGTGAAAGAAAACTTATTTGATAAAATTAAAAATGGAATTCTTAAATTCATTCAGGCAAGCAATTAATGGATGGGTAAGTTTGTTGTTTTCGATGATGTTCTTGGAAAGAAAGAGAATAAATAAGTGTCAGTCATATGAATCTGTATCAGTGGAGGCCCTACCGGGGGTGGGGATTTCAATTTCCCTAGAAAATGTTCCACCCCCCCCCTCCAGTTCCCCCACGCCTTTATAATTATCTCATGTTCACATTAATTTATTGTATATTGTACTTTGTACACATTGATGCATCGGACCCTCCGTCGGACAAATTCTTGCGCCCACTGAATCCTATAGTAATGAAGTAGATGGCAGTATCAGTAGCAATAGTATTACACTTTTTATATTTTTTTATAAGAACACGGAGGCTGAAATTGCTTAAAGATTAATCATAAAACAACAACAAATTGAGGCAGAGGTAAAATGTAAAGTGAAGTTTTTATTATTTTTTTAAATAGAAAAACCAACAAATCTGTATCTTTTTTGTAGTAGATGTGACTATGTAATAGGGCCTACCCTCTATTTTAAATACATTACAGTAATATACTTCTGTAAAATAATAATTTTCAATGTTTAAAAAGTGTGAAGAACAAAATCAGAACATTTTGAGCCTGTAATCGTCAAAAAAACACTGAGCCTGTGCAAAATCTTACTGGTTCTTAAAAAAAAAGTGTAGTGTATGTATAAGAACATTTATATGGGAGCTGACTGAGGTACACATTTAGGGGGCTCCATGAAAAGGTGAGTTTTAACTTTAACCAGGGAACAGTGAAATTAACCATGGAGGAAGAAATGCGATAAGTACTTCAGCGCTTGATATTCTTGCTCAGCAAAGTTTCACGCTGATGATGAATCGCCAATTAAAGCTAAAAACTAGCTTTTCGTCGTCGCAGTCAGATGTTAGCATGAGAAAGACTCATTACTGTTATATAAACATTATTATCATAGTTATTCTTGGTAAACTAGCTATGTATCCGCAACAATTGAAAATAACAATTTACGATTAAAACATATCCGATTAACTATAGCACTATTTGCGCAGACTCGAGTTGAAGCGGATTGGTTGGAACGAAAGTTATGATTGACGCTCAATTTGTTTGTTGCTAACATTCATCATTATGACCTCTCAAGAATGTGTTACCGTTAAAAATGGTGAGCATCACTGCTTAATGAGGGAAATTTGTATTTATATGAATACAATTTTTTGATGCAGCAACCGTGAAGAAATATATTTTAGATGTAGATCAAAGGATCGTCTACACATCAATGTCAGACTCGTCACTTTGATACACATTAATGCTGTACTCAACACTGAGATTAAAGAAAATAGAAATGAAATGATAAATGAATGGTAAAGTAATTTTGAATAATGTCAGGTACGAGGCCTATGATATTGATATGACTACCACATCTGTACGTGCGAACGAATGTCTTACTCATCATTTACATATACGCATTAATGTCAACTCATCACTTACAAGCCCAATGTCATTACTCATTACTGGCGTGCACATTAGTGCCATAGACATTACTTACAGCGCATTAATGTCACTCGCCACTTACATGAGCAATGTCATACTCGTTAATGGCGTGCGCATTAATGTCATACATTACTGGCGTACGCATTACATACTCATCACTTACAGCGCATTATTATCACTCACTACTTACATATGAGCAATGTCATACTCATTACTGGCGTGCCCATTAATGTCATACTCGTCACTTACATGCACATTAATGTCATACTCATCACTTAAATGAACATTAATGTCATACTCATTCCTGGTACGCGCATTAATGTCATAGGCTTACTTACATGTACAATAATGCCATACTCATCACTAACATGAACGTTAATGTCATACTCATCACTAACATGAACGTTAATGTCATACTCATCACTTACATGCACGTTAATGTCATACTCATCACATACATGCACGTTAATGTCATACGTATCACTTGCATGCACGTTAATGTCATACGTATCACTTGCATGCACGTTAATGTCATACGTATCACTTGCATGCACGTTAATGTCACCACTTACATGCACATTAATGTCATACTCATCACTTACATGAACGTTAATGTAATAATCATCACTTCGATGCGCATTAATTCATACTCATCTTGCATGTACATCATGATCTACTCATCACTTAAATGCGCATTCACACTTGCGTGTCCTTTCATGTTATATATCACTTGCGTGTGCATTAGTTCTTGCTCATCCACTTACACGCGCATTAATGTCTAACTTATCAATAAATAAACATCATGAGAAGTAATAATGCCAACTAGATTGTCTAGTCAATGGCTGACAATAACTGATCTAATTTAAGTGGCTAATGTTATTATTATCACAAACGTGTGCATTAATGTCAAACTCTTATTTTCTTCTTATACAACAGGAGGGGGTAGATATTTTCCAACATGAAATGTTCGCTAATGATATCCATAAGGGCCAGTGCACTAATATTATTCCCATTAAAGCCAATATCGTTAATACTTCTTTCATTGCATAACGCTCTGTAGGCCTAAATTAGGTCCTGTCATCATGTCAGACCCATACTCATTAAAGCCCGGAATCAAAACTCGGATGAAGGAGCCAAGGCGCCCCAACAGCTTATGTTAAATCAATGTACGCACTTAAAGTTATTGAAAGTTGTGTACTGAATTTTATACAGCAGACTAATGGAGGGCACCACTATTATCTAAACCTATTCATTTTATCATTCCAAATTGTAACATCTCTACAGAGTTACAGTCAACCCATCATCAGAAGCATGTCACGTGATAACTATCCATGACAATCGATATCCTAATACCCCATGTAACTTGACGACGTCAAACACCAATGTCGTCATGAATGTTACTCGTCACGTTTCCCCAAGCGTTATTGCGTTAATTATCCGCACAAATCCAAACTTACAGATTAAACACTCAAAAATTAATAATTTCGAAACTATTATAGTTTTCATCTAGTTCAACTTGGACTCTATAACTGCTACACATGCCCGGAGCGTTTCTATGATGACGTCACAGAATTCCAGTCGAGGTATTAATCACTGAGTCACGAACACTACATAAAGCTGTTCTTTCCAAAGAAATAAAATCCCTAATGAAAATAGAATACGCTCTACGAATGAACTAATTATCAATGTATATCACACGCACTCTTTACCTGCCACATTTAAAGAAATTTCAGATACAGTAGTCGACAGCTTTTTCTATTGACTATGTATAAACTAGTCCAGAGATTACGTCCGTGAGAGAGAATGCGCGCCGTTTATTCATAGCCCAAGACACCATATGGTTTATGATATTAATTGCACCGCTCGCTGTTTCGGCATAGGAAAATTATCTGTCCGTTGGATTTTATTTTTGTCCGAGAGCGCACGCTCACAACTCACAGAATTGATAGAGAACGGGCCAAGCGGGATACTGTATTTTGACTCTGTATCTAAAAGCACTGTCTGACTTTATGGGTAAGTTCGTTTCATTTTAGCATGATTTTCTGGCTTTATTTATTCTAGGCTAGTATATCCCAACATAGATACAGAATCTAAATCAGTTTCCACTGCATAAGCAACGGTTGCTTCTGGCAGGACAAGACGCATCCATTATTTACACGACTGATTTATCTATACGCTCTCTCCTGTAGTACGGATATATAGCCATAAAATCCAGCGATTCTACGTCGTTCACGCCGCAGAACGTTCGTGATTTGTGCAAAATGAATTTTCTATCACTAACAGTAGGCCTATACTAATGAACGTTTATTCTTTAAAAAAAATGTGTTAATGCTCAGTGGAAATAACATAGGCATATAACGAACGATTCATATGCTGATTGCTGAACTCCAGGGGTTCATAATATAGATAAATGAGGCCCTCTGAAGGTTCTTGTGTTTAACTGGTTGTAAGGAATTCGACGGATGTAACTAATAACGTAAAATCCAATTAAAATTTTTGTTATTTGAATTTTGACACTAGTAGGCCTAGTAGAAACTTACTCTTGTTGGTCACTCGAGGTAGGCAGTGTGGCCTGATAATTATGAACTATTTATAGTTTTAACTTGGCCCTTTACGCACGATAGGCATACCTGCGAACATTTAGGGTTATACATGCACATTTGGGGTATTGAAATGCGTATGAGTTTTATGCATAGATCTATAACTCGAAGAACAATGTTAAACTAAATTATTGTAGCTGTGTATGATAAATTATTTGAATAATATAGATATAAAATCTATATACACCTACGTGGAATCACACTATACAATATATATATATAACGGAAATAAACTATGGAACGTATCGCAAGTATTACCAGCAGAGTGCTTAATGGTCGACCAGAGCGGATATAAATAAATAAAAAGCGAGTTTCATCAGTAGTTTAGACATTTTATTACTACTTAGTTTCGTACCACACACATGGTGTGCCACTCTTCAGATAAAACATTTTATTACTACTTAGTTTCGTACCACACACATGGTGTGACACACCCTTGAGATAAAATTTTATCTGAAGAGTGTCACTACTGGCGGTTGTTGTGGCCCGGCAGCAGCAAAAAAAATCCACTAACCAAGTGTGAAATAATTTAGGTAGAGAAATAAGAGCCCTGCAATACCTAACCCAACATAGGTAAGGGTACACTGTAAACCTTTCCTCTAGTGCTAAAATTTCCGCCCCTTTCGGACTATAAGTCCGCTTGCCCTCGCGGCACTCCAGCAGAAAAAAAAATCTGGATCCACCATCGTCTGAGTTAAATTACTTCATTTATTATTACTTATTATTTTGTCCAAAAAGAAATTACATCGTAGAAAAAATCTTTAAAAAATCCCACTAAAACACAACAATTAAACAGTATACTAAAATGTTTTTGTACGTACCTAAGCCTATTCATTCAATAAGTTTAAATTTTATATTTACTGGCTGCTATTCAAACTTCCTATGGAGTACTGCATAAGGTATACTCCTAATACCTTTTAACTGTCTACATATAAATATCGAAATTTAATACTACTGTATACATAAATATCATAATAATAGTTAATTACTCCGGTATAGTGTCTACCGTAACTCAGACATGTGATTCAAGAACGATGCATACGGCTCGTAAAAATATGATTTGTTTCAATCAATATACATGAGGACACATGGGAATATCAAATATTTAAAGATTAATGAAAATAATGTCAAGCTTCTCATGCTCCCAGGTAAACCGTCATCTGCATTTCCATCCGATTTAAATTTAAGTTTTCTTTCAACTTTGACCCTCGCTGATGCTATGTGAACAAACCACTATCGTCGTAAAATAATTGCAATCTTATTTTTTCATAAATCTCGTAAAGGTGGTGTATAATACGTTTGTCAGCAAAACCCCCAATTTACATGATTTGTTTCTGTGTTCGGAAGTTATCGTTTCATAAGATTTCAACGAACCTGCCCTATGATTAATTAGTGACGCTGTTTTGAGACATTTATTATCCTAGGCCAGAAATAGTATGAATATGATCCCGTTTTTACCTTAAAGAGTGTCGTCCATCATATTAAAATTCCCAAGGTCTTACAAACGGACGTCCAGGCTACCAATCATGGGTTTCGACATTTGCTATCGGTTATGCGAACCACATCACTATGGTGAAAACGTCATCGACCAGTTACTGTATTTTAAATCACCCTTCCCCGGTTTTTTTTTTCACCCGATGTCTTCGAACAAATCGTCAGATTAACGACTGCATAATAATCATGTAAGAGGAATGCCGTATCATCGTAATAAAATTATTAATACACTGACCTATATTATTATAGCAAAAAAAAAAAAGTCACAGCAGAATTATCTAGCAAGCTTAATCTTGGCAGTATCGACGAAGACATATTCCACTTGCCTCTCTTAAAGGCTGATTGTGTATCGGGATAACGTCCATCTATTAATTCCATTGCTTTTGTCTTCTATTTCGCTCTGTACTAATTAGGATTTGTTTTCAAATAATATGAGACTCAGGTGATGCCTAAATGTCTTGAGGCTTACGTGTATTAATGGAAGGAGCACTTCTTTGATGATATTGTATGCAGTACAAAAATCAACGCTTGTTCCCCATAACCAAAAAATCCCTATAAACAAAACGGAATTATGGAACGTATCGCAAATATTATCAGCATATACATCCATACATATGCATATACATATGTATATATAATATATATATATATATATATATACA